TATTGTTAGTGTTCTCAATTTTTTTGAAACAATTTCGAAATTACTAATTTCTATTATTGTTCTTTTTTTTTCTTTTTTTTTTTTTGGGAGAAAATGTCTAACAGAAAAACTCTTTTGGCTATCCCATAGATTTTTCAATAAACAAACTATATATTTTCTAAATTTTCATTTTTTTCTCATTCATAAACCTTCCATTATCACCCAACCACTCAGGTGATATTTTGGTAACAAATTCAAGAGCAGCATTGAGTCAAAGCTTTTTTGTAGAATGCATTAAATTTCTGTATAGACAACAAAACCTTTCATGGAAAATGTAATTAATTTGCATTCAACGACAAGTTACATGCCATTCTGGAATGGGTAAACACTGCATATAAATTTCCTTCATACCCCAAGTATGTGCACCAACCCTTCCTAGAATCCCAGGGCTCCCAAAAGGAAAGAAACCCTGAAACCCTATTCCATTTTCTTCTCTTTCGAAGCTCAACCATGTCTCGCTACAACTGGAACTTGAGGCAAGGAAACATGCTTGGTTCATCAGACCCTGCACCACCTAGGGCAACTGATCTAACACAAATTGCATGCAGACTATGTGACCGTGTGTTTATGAGCACTCAAGCTCTCATATCGCACATCGATTCTCACATGGGCGATGGTGACCGCACCACCGGGAGATTAAGGCAACTTAATAATCTTCCAAACAACATCAACGCCTTCATCTCGTCCAACGCTCCGACCCGACCCGTTCCTATATTTCCATTGACCAACCCTTTCCATCAAAGAAGCCTTTTTCATGGAGCTAATAACCAAATTGGTTTTACAACCCCGCCGCTGCCGCCGCCACAACCTCATTATCAACTTCCATGTGCACAACAACCACAAGTTCCTCATTATTCGTTGCCAAGAAACCCTAATGTTAACTCAGGAGCCGCTGCATCACATTACATGATGATGCCATATGGTAATCAAATGGCACATGTGGTGAGGGAGGAGAACTATAGTGACTGTACCAGGCCGTTCCTCAGTCAGTTGGAGCGCCCTATTCCATCAATTAATTTTGGGTTGGATGCTAGTGGTAACGCCAAATCTGACCATTTGGATTTGGCATTGAAACTTTGAATCATGCATGAACAATTATTTATTGTAGCCGTTTTTCTGAATTTCCAGAGCAATTCTTCGTTGTAGTTGTATACAATCAATATAACCGGTTGTATACATATATAATTATTAATTGTAGCTGTTTTTCTGTTCTAGTATAAACATCAGAATAATTTCCTTGTAAATACAACCGATTGTATATATTATGGACTAATGTGATGCTAAATAATAATACTATGTGACCGTTTTCTTTCATGAAGTTCTGTTTTTGTGCAATCCCACTTTTTTATGTATTATGAATAATCTTATCAATAGTTTGCACTCATTGACAAGTAAGATAGCATACGTACGCACAAATTATTGTGTGTGTATGAAACATAAGGTGACAAGTTTTAATAGCGTACAACTCACAAGTGAACGCACAAACAATATTTCTTTCTTGATTGAATTTTTAAGACCGTAATCGTATACATATAATCCCCCCTAGAGTCGTTCTCTCTCACTGAGTCTTTCTCAACCCTGTGTGAGTGTCCTTCCGTCAAGCCTTTCCTTTGCCACGGTCGATCCCAGCTCTGGCTGGGGTCGGGTGGTAGTCCTTCTTCATGTTTTTTTTTTCCTTCTTTTTGTTTCTCTATCAATTCGCTTTTTCCTCTGTTTGTTGGCTGGATCCATCTCATCCATCACCCCTATTTATATCTAACTTCTTTTGGCCCTAATTCGCCTCCACCTCCATGCTCTCCAAGAATCCACTCCCTACCCTTCCTCCTCATAGACTCAATCCTTCATTGATAACAACCGGACCTTCTCCCACAAATCATCAACGCGATTTATCACTTTCCTCTCAGAAGGTGCGTAGAGTTTCGGTTCAGGTGTTCACACCACCTCCTTCCATCTTTTTGCCTTCGTTGGCAATATTACTGTCACTGCTACTTGCGGAGCTAGTTCTTCCCACTGGTTTCTATTGATTTGTGGTGGCGATCTCGATGGTGCATTTTGAAGGATGTTGGAGTCTTCTCTTCATCCAGCTCGAGGACTTTGTTTGGCCTGATCTCAGGTGTCTGTTGGGAGCGATTATTTGAGATGGTTGGTAGTTGGCGTTCCGAATGCGGCGGAGGTAGCAAGTTCATAAGGCTTGTTTCGGTTTCTGGTTTCTCTTTTGTTTTCGGCCCAGAACTTTGTTTGGGATTTTTTTTTGGCTTCACTTTGGAGGTACAATTGTATGTTGTTGTGCTAATTGTAATTGGGTCTCTTTCTATGTAATTATGTTGCTGTGTTAATGAATTTACCCTTTGTGCAAAAAACCAAACAATATTTATTTCTTTTATTTTTCTTCCTTTTTCTACAAATTAATAGAACTTTCTTTGTCAATCAAAATCCCATAAAATATCATTCTAATCCTCTAATCAAATTTGATCATAAATAAATAATATGGATAGTAATGTAATTTCACACAACCAAAATTTTGCTATTTTCTATTAAATCCTCACCTACATGTGATTTTAATATATTTAATTAAAAAAATAATAAATAATAAATAAACCTCTCTCCCCACTCTCACGTTCTATCTTAAGTCTCTCCCTCTCTCTCCTTCCATTTTAAAAACAAATAGCAAAAATGTTCACCCACACTTTGGATATGGGCATATACTAGTATATAAAAAAGGATGAGCCGCACAAGGATGAACCTTTTATAATCTAAAAAATTGCCCTTCTCCTATTAGAATTTCAAAAGAAAAAAAAATAATAATTAATAGAGTACAAAATAGTAAAATTACATCATTTGAAAAGACAGTAAAAAGCACCCACCTAGTGGGATTATGCATGGGTGGTTAGTAAATTTAGTAATTTTTAAAATATTTTAATAAAAATAATAATAACTAGCAAGTACAATTAAAAATAAATAATAAATAATATATTATCAAACAGAAAAATAAACAATAAAATAGAAAAGTCAATTGTCACACGCGTAAGTAGACATGACATTCATGTCGTGATTTTCGTGTGCGCATGTTTTTGTGACATATCCGATATTAGGGGTGAGCAAACAAGTCCTGGACCTAAAGGTCCGGGTGGGTACAAAAATTTGAGAGACAAAACGGAACGAGGCGATGCAAGTCTACAAATAAGTGGGAATGGGCCCCAGCCCGACCCGTATTTAACATGGGATAATGGATTGGATTAATATATAATTAATCAATTTCCAAAACTCCCCAACATTGGATTTTTTTAGGGAACTTTAACGAAAATGATACGGTTTATTTTAATGAAAAATTACATTTTTATATTAAAAAATCAATCATGATACTATTCATTTTATCCTTTATTTTGTTCTTATCATTAAAACTCAAAGTTTTCAAAATATATATTTTTTTGGGCAAAAGACTATTTACTACCCTTATGTTTTGTGGTTTTCAACATTTAGTACATCAAGTTTTTTTCGTCCCAGAGTCATACCTAAAGTGTAAATTTTGGAACAGTCTCATACATCCGTTAGTCAAACTGTTAAGTTTGCCGTTAACAGTGATGTGGCGCCCATGTGGACAATGACTGGGCGCCACGTGTCATCCACGTGGAAATTTAAAAAAAATAAAAAATATATATATTATAAAATAATAAATAAATTAATTAAAAAAAAAACGTTTTTTTTTTTTTTTTTTTTTTCCTCCTTCTTCTTCTTCCTTCTTGTTCCTCTGACTGAATCTGAGTAGCATATTTGTTTTTTTTTTTTTCTTTCTTTCTTTCTTCTTCCTCCTTCCTTCTCCTTCTTCTTCTTCCTTCTTCCTTCTCCTTCTTCCGAATCTGCCCATTTTTTTTTTCTTCTTCCTTCTTCTTCTTCTTCCTCTTTCTTCTTCTTCCTTCTTCTTCTTCTTCTCCTTCTTCTTCGAATCTGCCCAATTTTTTTTTTCCTCCTTCCTTCTCCTTCTTCCTCCTTCCTTCTCCTTCTTCTTCTTCTTCTTCTTCCTTCTTCTTCCTCCTTCTTCTTCTTCGAATCTGCCCAGTTTTTTTTTTTTTTTGTTTTTTTTGTTTTTTTTTTCCTTCTTCCTCCTTCCTTCTCCTTCTTCTTCTTCTTCTTTGAATCTGCCCAGTTTTTTTTTCTTCTTCTTCCTCCTTCCTTCTCCTTCTTCTTCTTCCTTCTTCTTCCTCTTCGAATCTGCCCAGTTTTTTTTTTTCTTCTTCCTCCTTCTTCCTCCTTCCTTCTCCTTCTTCTTTTTCCTCCTTCCTTCTCCTTCTTCTTCTTTTTCCTTCTTCTTCCTCCTTCTTCTTCTTCGAATCTGCCTAGTTTTTTTTTTTTTTTTCTTCTTCCTCCTTCCTTCTTCTTCCCCCTTCTTCCTTCTCCTCCTTCTTCTTCTTCTTCGAATCTGCCCAGTTTTTTTTTTTTTTTTTCTTCTTCCTCCTTCCTTCTTCTTCCTCCTTCCTTCTTCTTCCTCCTTCTTCCTTCTCCTTCTTCTTCTTCTTCTTCAAATCTGCCCAGTTTTTTTTCCTTTTTTTTTTTCTTCTTCCTCCTTCCTTCTCCTTCTCCTTCTTCTTCTTCTTCTTCCTTCTTTTTCTTCTTCTTCTTCCTTCTTCTTCCTCCTTCCTTCTCCTTCTTCTTCTTCTTCTTCCTCTTCCGAATCTGCCCAGATTCGGTTTTTTTGTTTTTTTTTTAATTTAATTTTATAATATATATATATATTATTTTATAATTTTTTTTTAAAATTTCCACCTGGATGACACGTGGCGCCAAGTCATTGGCCACATGGGCGCCACATCACAGTTAACAGCTGACTTAACAGTTTGACTAACGGATATATGAGATTGTCCTAAAATTTACACTTTAGGTATGACTCTGAGACGAAAAAAAATTGATGTACTAAATGTTGAAAACCATGAAACATGAGGGTAGTAAACAGTCTTTTGCCCTATTTTTTTTCATGGCTTGTCATTCAGTTTTCGCATCTCATTCAGTCGTGACTTGAGCTCGCGTCGAGTCCTCAACAGCAGCCATCCATCGCCATCTTCTGGCCCAATAGTGACCACCCATCACCGCCGTCGAAAACAACACCATCATCATGCGAATCAAAATCGGCCACCATCATCTCATCTCCTCCCAATTTCAGGTAACATAATTTCTGAACCCTTAATTGTTAACTATGGTTAATTTTCTGGGTTTAGGGATTTACGGTTATCTGCAATTTCCTATTCTCTCTGATTAATTTTCTAGATTTAGAAATTTAGGGTTTTCTGCAATCTCTGACCTTATTGGGTATTTCTTAAATGCTTGAATTGGGCATTCAATTGAGCATTTCTTAATGTTTCAATTGGGCATTTCTTGATGTTTGAATTGGGAATTTATGTATTGTGTAAATTTGTAGACACGCTGAACGCCCAAAGGATCAGGTTAGCTTGAAGGTTTTTTATTTTATTTTATGTATTGTGTAAATTTGCAGACATGGTGATATTTAAAGTTTTTAACTCAAAAAATTCTTTGTGGTTGTACTTTCAAACTGCTTGTGATTAAATTAATATCGTTGTGGTTTTTAACTCAAGTTTTTAACCCTAAAACTGGCACTGATTGTGATAAAATTAATAGTTCTTGATTACTATTATTATATGATGTAGAGGTGGGATGTTGGTTGAGATTTCTAGTTTGCAATTGTAGTTCCTTATATATGAAAAAAGAAATGTTAGCTAGGGGCTTAATGAGTAATAATTTGTAGTACAAATCCCACTCACACATAAAATCTTTAAAATAAATATCTTGCATTCAAGTTTAGAATATGTAGGATTTTGGTAACATTCAAATTTCATGCTTTGTGTAATATTAACCCTAACATGCCATGAGATCCATCCTGTCATAATCGCTCTAAAACCAAGGCCGAGACGTGTTCCTTCCTTGGCCATAATCGCTCAAGTGTAGAAGTTAGCAGCACATTCAACACCATCACCACCAAACCTATTCTACTCACCTGACCGAGCTCGGTTGTGAGTTGGCATACCCACATTCACAAGAAGGACATAATTAGCTCATAATTATTCGATATGCGCATCACGTAAGCCTTGTAATTCTAGAGTCCACACTTACTTGAAATGTGAAAAGTCTTAAACTAGAGGAGGAGACGACCAACTAAATCCAATGATGAGACAAGTGTTGGAAGTTATCGATTTTATTTACAAGATTGCTGATTTTTTTAAGTATTGTGCAAAAAGTTGTCGATTTTATTTACAAGATTGCTGATTAGGTTTCTCTGGCTTTAGGTTTGCTTGTTCAGTTAGAGTTGATTTATTTCATGTTTTCGGTTGGCCTACTATTTTGCTATTCCCCAGATACCTCCATATATATGAAGAAGAAAAAACGTGTGCATGAAATTATAAAGAAAAATATTTTTTTTAGCATAGTATCAAAACTATGGAAATACTATTGTTAGACGAAAATAGCGATAAAAATGTACCAACTGTGTCGATAATATGTATATACTTTGTCAAATGGGTGAAACTGTGAATTGTTTTATGAGAAGTTGCATTTGATTTGGCAAGATATAGATTGTTTGTGCCCTAACAAGCTCACCAATCTTCATGATGATGTGACTCTTCGACATAGAGAAGTCGATGGTGATCGTGTTTATGATTTTCTTGGTGGCCTTTATCCTCAATTGACTCGGTTCTCTTGTAGTCTTTTATGCTTGGTGTAAGTGATGTGGCTGCCAAACCTTGCAAAGTCCATGCCCGTCGATCTTCTATGGCTGCTTCCCATGTTTCTACTTACCCAAGGCCTATGTGAAGTGCCAAGGCCGATACTTTCAAAAGAAGCTAAAAGTGTGCATCTTGTGGTGGAGATCACTTTTCTAAGAAGTGCTTTGAGGTACATGGATACCTCAACTGGTGGGATGAGCATCATGCCTTTGAGGGGGATTGTAGCCTTTAGACTACTAGTCATGATTAATAAGTTTCGAGATCATACAAAGCCATGGGTGTCTACTGCTCTATTGCCTTATTCTACAGTTCAGTTTCTATCCAATCTCATCATCTCTCACTCTCAATTGAAAGTTGAAAGAGACACAATGTTCATGTGGGATAGAAACTTTTAGTTGGATTAACTATCTATAATATTATGAAATGATTATCTTCATTTTGAGATTGGATGGCCTACGTGAATATCAATTTTTTTTTATTTGTGGAGAGGGGGAACCATGCAGATAGAGAATCACGTGTTCGTGTAGTCACTCATGCAAATTCCGTAGATATATCCATCTAAGGAATGTTGTGTAAGGAATGTTGCATAAGACCTGACTATATAACTTTTTTTTTCTTCAAAGGTTTTAACTTTAAACATATTTCAAGACTAAAAACAGATGAACCGTTAGACTAGCAACAACTTCTGACTTCGAAGTTGAGTTTATTATAGTATATGTTACTACAACATTAAGTTACAAGTTGGATAATCTTTTCATTCATATTTTCCTATTGTTTTTGTAACATACTACTATCAACAATAAAAACTAAGTAAATGTGACAAATTCTTATATTTAAGAACAAATCAATGCTTCAATTCAAAGCCCCCAATGGATCTATTATTTTTTTGTTAGTCATTACTTGCATTCCTAATATATACACATCTCATTCATTTTCCTTTAATATAAGCTCCAAGAAATTTTACCCTAAAGTCAAACACTGTTTTGGTTGTAATTAAACACCAACTACTAACCAAAAATAAATCTTTAGTGGGGCCCTGGATGCCTCAACGGTCCAATGAAATTGCATGGGCATTCGTGTAATTTTCCGCCATCAAATCTGTTTCCCATCACCCAGCTGTTATATGATATAAAACTATTAAGGGTTGTCCTTTGCGTCTCAGCACCACTCAACGTTTTCATTTTTCCTAATCTACCCCTGCTTTATCTCATATATACAGTAATCTGCCACCACGCCCAAACCCTTTGGATCCTCTCTCTCTCTCTCTCTCTCTCTCTCTCTCTTCCCTTCTCTCTCCGTTGCAGTTTTCAGTCTAAAAAGCTCACTTTTTTTTTCAGCTGAGACAGGCCATTTCTGTTCTGGGTTTAATCTGAAATTTTCCCTTGTTTTTTTCTCTGAGCCCATTTTTTCCCTCACAAATTTGCTTCACATTTCCACACTTTCCCAATGAGTCTCTGATCCCACTTTCCTGCATTGGTTCTATAAACCTGGGCTCAATCCTCCCCAACCCACTTCCCTGTAAAGATGAAGTCTTCAACTCGGCTGGACTCGGCTCTGTTCCAACTCACCCCAACTCGGACCAGGTAATCCTTTTCTTCAAATCAAATGGGTCTTCAATGATATTTTTGTTTTTTAATTTTACAATAAAGGCTGGATTTGGCTTTTTTATGCAATTGGTATGGTATTGGGTTGTATGAACTTATGAGCAATGTCTAAGTTGGAATTTTATTATTTTTTGGATGGTTATTCTTGGTGTTTTAGAATTGGATCTTTTGGTGTTTTATTGGATATTTATGTTATGTGTCTGTTTGTTATGTCATTGCATGTGTAAAAGTGTTTGATTATTTGGTACTCAATCTTTTCTGAGTTGCTTTGTTTTTGTTGAGTTTGCATACCTTGATGAATTGTAGTGTCTTAAATTCATTTGGAGGTACATTTAGTGGAAATGTGCAGATTTATTGATCGAAAAGCCGTATTTGTACTCGAATCTAAACAAGGAAAGATTTTGATGAAAATGCACTATTTGTTAGTTGTTGTCTGCTTTGTTTCTTGTTTATTATACGTAAATGTGATTGTGAAAGTTTCAAAGATGTTCATCATTTTGATATTTTCTGCTCCTAAACCTTCGTCTTGATAGGTGCGATCTGGTTATATCCGCAAATGGAATGACGGAGAAAATAGCTTCTGGTTTGTTGAATCCGTTTCTGTCCCACTTGAAGACTGCTCAAGAACAAATGGCCAAGGGTGGTTATTCAATTATTCTTGAGCCAGAGTCTGGCAGTGATGCAGCATGGTTCACAAAGAGTACGGTCCAAAGGTTGTAATGAAATCCAGTGCCTCTCTACTATCTAGGGTGTTCTCAACATGTTTGATGAGTGCATAAGTTCGATCTTCTCTGCTAAGCACACCAATTAGAAAGTGTAGGGTAACGTGACTGTTTCATGCGGTGCATGCTTGATTTCTAATTTGGAGTCCCTTCTCATTTTAAAGTTTCAATACAACTGATTTTCTATATTTGTCTTCAAATGTATGAAAAGTGATTACTAAGCCTTATAGGCTCAACGTTTCATCTTACGAACCTATGACTGTTGCCAGAATTTTGGAATGCAGTATCCTGTATGCTACAATGATAATTCCTCTCACTGGAAAATCATTATTCTGTACTAATTTGTGAGGTGAATATTAGGTTTGTTCGCTTTGTGAGCACCCCAGAGGTCTTGGAACGGGTGTACACTTTAGAATCTGAGATTTTACAGATTGAAGAGGCAATTGCAATTCAAGGAAATAATGACACGGGACTTAATCATGTAAGTAAAATCTGTTAGTTCTCAGTGATCTGTGTTTGGTATCCACATAGAAAAGTCAGTCTCAGTTTCTTTGTGGCAGGTAGAGGACAATCATGGAAAACCTGTAGATAGCGTTGAAGGTAATTTTGAAAAGACAACTAAACAATATGTCACACAATGATTTTCTTATTAGTAAAATAAGACTTTTTTGCCTGTTTCTGTTTTCTTTCAATTGTGCACTGGCAAGCTGATATTTGGGTTTTTTACCCTCCTCACTCAACACACTTGATGCAGATAGTTCTAGTGGTGTCCCAGCTTATGCCTCTATCAGGTGCCGACAGCCCCTAACTTCCCTACCATGCTTCACCAAAAACCTAGTTTTTTTTTGTCTCTCCCTTATACAAGCTTTGCCTTTGGGGTCTACATAGGAAAAAAGGGAGGGTGTTGAGGTACTAGAGGGGATTAATGGGGAAAGTTTCAAATGCTGCTTCATATCAGAACATGAAGTCTGGTGAAGGTTTCACTGGGCTTGTATCTCTTTCCTCCCTTTTCTCACTTATTTTTGTTTCAACTAATGGATGGCAAATACTCGGTCAGCTAAGCTCTGTAATCTGTTGCCATGTTTGTTTTTGTTTCTGATTCAAAAGACTGTAATTCCTTCTTTGTTTCTCTAGTTACTGGTTCATCTACTGGACTGTGAACCCCAAATTATTTTTTATAGGAAACAAGCCTTTGCTAGATGCTAGTGAAGAGAAAGCAATTGTCCTTTACCAGGTTTAAATCTGTACCTTTTTATTTCATTTTTTTGTTGTTGTTAGTGTTTCTGATTTGGTTTCTCTTGTAAAACTGGCAGCCTGATGGTCAACCTGAAGCAAATGGATCCACTGCACAAGAGGCAAATTCAAAGTACGTACCATCTCTTTCATATTCTCTTGTGCTGCTCCAAAGACCATGTACCATGCCTCTCATGGGTTAAAGTTGTAATGAAAAGTAAACTGTTGTTTAAGGTCTTAGCACTTGTGATCTTGAAATTTCCGGTGGCCCTTCAAACCTAAATTCCCTTTGATTATCCTGCTGCCATATATTCATTTCAAGTAAACCAGGGATGTGTATGGGCGTATAGCTTTATCAAATTTTGAACCTCCTCCTCCTTACGTCTCCTATCTATACAATTATAGGGTAGTTATCATTTGCAAAAAAAGAAAAAATGGTACACCATTGATGTCAGAGAAAAAACAATGGTTTGTATCATCTCTATAAAAGTCTGATGGAAAAAAGAAGTTAAAGGGTCAGAACACACACGTGCCTGTGTGCATCGTCTCCTACTCACCAACACATTTTCTATTGATAAATTCCATTCAATGGAGGGATATTCAGTTTCCTGCAACTATGCATTGCAGCACAGATTATTGGGATATTCCCTTATTTTCTGTATAACATAAGGGCAACTGCTAATCCATTTATCTAATATTATGGTAGAGTTCATCTTTTGAAAGTCCTGGAGACACGCAGAACTATGCTGCAGAAAGAGCAAGGTATGGCTTTTGCACGTGCTGTAGCCGCAGGTTTTGACGTTGATCATTTGCCACCATTGATATCATTTGCTGAATGGTTTGGAGCTTCACGCTTAATGTAAGTAGAATTTTCTTCCACTGGCCACTTTAACATTAACATGAGGCAGGATATTTTGTATCAGAATCTTTCCTGATAATGTTAACTTTATCAATCTAACAGGGATGCTTGTAGAAGATTTAAGGAACTGTGGAAAAGAAAGCATGAAACTGGGCAATGGCTTGAAATTGAAGCAGCTGAAGCAATGGCTAACAGATCAGAATTCTCTGCCATGAATGCATCAAGCATAATGCTTTCGAGTGCGACCAACCAACAAGTAACTGCAGGTAGGAGTACAGGTTGTAAGAGGTATACTACTTATAGGTAACTAACCTATTATATTCACTGTTCTCAAGAAATTTCATCATGGAGACCGAGTCTTAAATAATTAGACCGATCATCAATTTCAGTGGTAAAGACGAAGGGTGTGAGAATCTAATGTTTTGACTTTGAGAAGAGCCCCATTCATCATACTGCATGGCGTTAGTATAATCATGTTCACTACTTTTAGGATAGCTGAGATTTTGTCTGCTTATTTGTGCAGAAGAAAAGCCTCCTGTGGAGCATCAACCACCATTAAGCCACCAGGAACACTTTCCTGGCCAGTATCCCCATCAGATGTACCCTCCCTGGCCTGTTCAGTCTTCTCCAGGTGCATTACCAGTGTATCCACCATATCCTATGCAAGGCATGCCTTATTTTCAGAATTACCCAGGAAATAGCCCATTTTTTCAGCCGCCTTATCCGATAGTAGAGGATCCTAGACTCAATCAAGGTCAAAGAATACAGAAAGGGCACTCCATGGATAGCAGTAATGGAAATATTGAATCAAATGATGTGGAATTGGAGAAGGATTTTTCAAAAAGTCAAGAATCAAGAAAGAAGGCTAGTCGCTCAGGTCAAAAACAATCTGGCAGGGTTGTCATTCGGAACTTAAATTACATCACCGCAAAGGGAAAAAACTCTTCCTATAGTGACTCAGCTAGTGACTCTCAAACTGATGAGGACAATGGAGATTTTGGGGGTGGCATTCCTAAGATGAAGGTTACACACTCTCATAAATCCTCAAAAAGGAAAGAAACTGTTCTTATGAAGGAGGGAGATGAAGGGAACTGGCAGGCATTTCAGAAGTTCTTACTCAGAGATCCTGATGAAGACAGACGTGAGCTTGACCAAGGCATGTTTTCCATGGAAAAGAAGGGTCAACTGAAAAGGCGACAAAATAACCTGGGGGATGATCCTTTAGTTTCTGGTGGTCGAGATAGGGGAGAAATTCCAGAAGGAAGTACAACAGATATTAATAAATTTAGTGGAAATGTTACCCGCATGCAAAAGTCATCAAATGATCAAATGTTGATATCTGCAAGAAGTGATCAGTTGAGTCATGGTAATGGTCAAATGGATTTACGGTATACAGAAATAGATGGCATAAGGGGTAAATATAGAAGGACTGCCAGTGACGATTTTATGATTCATGGACATAATAACCAGTCGGGTTTTACAAGTTCTCCCTCGGATCCGCTTGCTATAAATGGATTTGATCGTGCAACCAACACTTTGGATAGGAGGTCATCTCACAACATGGATGATGATTCATACATAGTTCCATTGAGGTCAATTTCACTAGATCATCTCGAAAACAATGGCAGAAATGCTATCGACATGGGCTCTGAGTTCCCATCAGCAGCTCAGAAGGTGGAAAACTCCCAAGTTAACTATGAGCCAGATGAATTGACTTTAATGCCTGAGCGTGGTGCAGAAAAGGGTTCAACAGGCTATGACCCTGCTTTAGATTATGAAATGCAAGGTGCTTCTCTGGATAAGAAACATAAGGAAGTGATGAGTGAAAACAAGCAAGGGTCTAAGAAGCCTGACAAGGACAAGAAATCAAAAATGGTTTCAGATACTTCAGATAAGAAGATTGGAGGACCAATAAGGAGAGGAAAGCCCTCAAAACTTAGTCCTTTGGATGAAGCACGAGCACGTGCTGAGAAACTAAGAAGCTTTAAAGCCGATCTTCAGAAAATGAAGAAAGAAAAGGTTATTTATCATTTTCCTATCTGTTTTGCTTTTTCGCAGAGTAAATTTACTAAGACCTTTCCTGGTCTTACTAAATTACAATAAGCTGTTCTCCCTTATCCAAAGTTGAGAATTTTTCTTTTTGAAACACTATTTTAGTATCATCTTCTTGACAGTTTTTGTATGCCTTAGACTTGCAACTGGGCTTAAAAAGCTTTTATTTTTGTTGCAAGTTTAAAAAGTTAGATGACTATTCTCAATGTTTTTGTCACTGGACTCACCGCCATCTTGTACACCTATTTCAAAGTGAATTTGTTGTTTTCCTTTATTACCAATATTTTAAATAACAGTAAAAATTATGCTGAAATTTACGGAGGTTAGAATAATTTCTTAACATCTGAGGGATTTAATTTATTTGTTTATTTTAATTTTCCATAATGCTATTTTCACTTTGAAAAGTAGAAAAACTTGAGTCAGACAATCCATCATGTGTTGCCTGACAAAAGCACATAAAATGTCTTGTGGAGTTCAGATAATTTTACAAGTTAGCCATGTCCCTGTCGGACACATCGCATGTTAGGACATCAACATAAGTATCAATCTTGTATTGCTCTTTAAATCATCTAAAACGTGTCATAAAACTATGAAGCACTGGAACTTTACAAGGTGGTCCTGTCTACAGTATTTTTCTTGCACCTGAACATATTCTTAGACTTGGTATTTTCTTCAAGAAATTTCCCCAAATGAGTTCATGACCTTTTAAATTCAAGAGAGAGAGAGAAATAAAGTTAACAAAGTCAACTTTATAACTTTGAATCATTAGTTAAAAAAAAAAAAAAAACACATTATAATGTAATTATTTATTGCTTTCAATTTGTCGATTTATCACTGATCATATTTGTTCTGTATTGTAACTTATTTCCTTGGTCTGGTGTCCATGCCTGTGCAACAAGTGGTTATATATGTTGTAGAATCAGCTTCACATGCTATATGCTAGCCAGTTTATCTGTTTTATTCATAAGATTTTTGAAGTTTTTGCACTTTTTGTTTTCAGGAAGAAGAAGAGATGAAACGGCTGGAAGCCTTAAAGATACAGAGGCAAAAGAGGATTGCTGCTCGAGGTGGTACCATCCCTGCAATGTCACCATTGCCCTCGCTGCAAACCAGGAAACAAGGGCCAACAAAACTATCTCCAAGCACTCACAGAGGATCAAAGTTTAGTGATTCAGAGCCAGGGTCATCATCTCCTTTGCAAAGGGTGCCCATCAAAACTGGCTCTGTGGGCTCTGCCGATTCTCACAAAACCTCCAAATCCAGCAAACTGAGTACTGGAAACCACTCTGCTGTACACAGGTTAACCCGGTCTGTAACTTCATTGCCTGAACAAAAGAAAGACATCGCTGGTGTTGCAAGTAATGTTAAGCTATCCATGGCACGGATTCGAAGGTTATCAGAGCCTAAGGTGACTAACGGCCATCATGTTTCTTCAGTGAAGCTGCGGAGTACTTTAACAGTATCAAAGCCAAAAGTTTCTGACGGGCATGAGAGCAAGAAAATATCTGCTATCGTGAATTATGACAAAAGCAAGGCTGCTACTCTCCCAGAATTGAAAATCAGGACAGCCAAGGGACCTGATGCTGCCCAGAGCATATCAACGACTAAAGGAGTGACACAGAAAGATGATTCTGTGAAGTCTACCTCTGAAGGTGGTCAACTGAAGAGGAATGATGACAAAAATTCACACCATAGTGATCGGGATGACAACCCAGTAATTGAGAAAACTCTCTTGATGCTTGAGAAACCTTCCATTCCCATTGTACATGCGGAAGAAACTTTGAGGGATGCAAAGGGACAGAATATTAGGGAGAAGACAGAGGTGTCAGAGTATGCTGCTATTCGGGCACCAGTTTCACCACTAACGATTGATACAATCAATAGAGAACCCGCTCGTGACCTATTACAGCAGCAACTTCAGTCTCATGAGGTATGGTTGATCAGATAACCAAAGGATTTTGCTTCCAGTTTTGCATTTTTTGTCTGTACTGACTGCAACGGACCATGAAGGGTTTGATTGCGTCTGAAAAGTTTACAAGCAAGTCATAGTCATTGTTTACAATCTAAAATTGCAATTTCAATAACTGCAACAGAAGAGGAAGATCCGTAGGCTGAACTCGTATCTATGGTATTAATTCTTGGTCAGTGTTCCTAACTAACAAAAATGCAGTTTTATATGAATCCTTACTATTACCACATGTGAATTTCAAAAGCTTTTTATTTTTTAATTTTTTTTATGCTTTTTCTGGTCATAGATAGCATCAGAAATTTTATTTGCAATTCAATTGCTTTCAGTTATTTATTTATTTGTAATATACATTGTTAGGCATTTATCTTTCTTTGACTCTTCAAAAAGAATATAGCTATGAACAATAAGATATATTTAGTCATATCATAAATTGTGGACCAATTTCTGAGTGGTGTTTGTGCTTTGTGTAACCACATTGATGGATAGGTTACTACGAGTAATATGGAGAAGGAACCGGCAAAGTTTTCAAGCAATAGCACTGCTGCAAAACCATATCAAGCCCCTTATGTGCGAGTTCCTTCTCTGGAAGGTCCATGTACTCAGAATCCTGAGTATGGAAAAGCACCCACAAACATAAAAACTGTGGCAATAGGCACAGTGACTATAAAAGCACTTGTACCCGAGTCTAGTAACCTTGAAAAGATTCCAGAAGCATTTGAAAGGCCTCAGGCAAAGGAATCATTAAAAGGGTTCAGACGGCTGTTAAAGTTTGGGAAAAAGAACCATGGCTCATCATCAGGTGAACGTAATGTTGAATCAGATAACGTCAGCATGAATGGTACTGAGGCAGGTGATAATGGGACAAACGCTGTTTCTTCTAGTGAAGGTAACTTGCATTATGCCTTGAAAACAAATAAACAAAACATTTTGACAACCGATCACATTCATTATGCGTGCTAGACAGAATTTGAAGTGTAATTAACATTATGGAAAGAATAAAATAAGACTAATGAACATTTGCAGCTATAAACTCCTAATTCGTTCTTTGTAAACTCCTAATTCAGTCCTTGTACCAGTTAAACATTACATTATCCAAATCCATTGTGGATTAAATATTTGTAACTCCATCTCTTATAGAATGTCTATGTGCCTCCGTTTTCTGATTGTCGTAAACTTACTGTGCGAAAAAATTCATATGTTTTTCCATTTTTGTACTGAGGATACTGTAGGTTTCTATAGATGCTCCCCTCTGTTTTATCTGGCTATTAAGTGTTTCAATGTTCATGTGATCTCATAGTTGTTTGCAATGTGGCACGTAGAGAACTAGTTTATTTTTCTTGTGTGGTTCCAGGAACATTTAGTGAATAAAATGTTTTGCTGATGTGACTTTGGCTCCGGGTTCACCCTGCTTTGTTTCGTTTGCTGTTGTGTGCACGCTCTTTTGATTGCTATCTCTCCTGTGTCTTTTATTTGTCATCACTAAGTCTGTTCATTTATGAAGATTGCAAGTCACTGGTTTGTGAAAAAATCGAAATTTGTAGGTTCACGGGGTGTGGATTAGGTCAATAAGAGGTTATTTAGAGTCTGATCTCAAATACTATATAAGCTGACACTAATTTTTGTGTGCTCCATATCAGTGTTTACATTAAAGAATCTGATCTCACAAGATGAAACTCCAAATCCCAGCTCTACACAAAAGTGTAAGTGTTTATCATTTTTGCAACACGCGTTGCTCCATTGAATTTTTTATTTTTTATCCTCTTCTTTTTAATGATTCAATAATTCTAACTGCGTAGAATTTCATTCATATGGTTACAGCTTCTCGCCATTTCTCCTTGTTGTCACCATTCAAAAGAAAGACTGGCGAGAAGAAGCTGACAATGTGAAGATGTGAATGCTTGCGAAATTGAAGACAGAAGCAACAAGGTTTCTCTTATTTTTCCACCACTTGGGTGCAATCTGAGTCATAAAAGCTCTACAGATTTTCGTCTCCTGTATGTTTAAAAGTAAAATCTTAGTTTTGTTGTTGTATAACTTGTCTTTGGACATTCATATTAGTTTGTTAGCGTTGCATGCGGAATTCGTTTGTAGCGCTCCTCTGCGTAATTTGTAAGCTCAACGATGATTGTTGTTGGACGCAGTTTATTGTGGATGGGATTGATGTCGGGTTCGTGGATGTCACATAGAGGGAAAATGCACAAAAATAGAGTTTCCACAACTGAGAAGTAGCTTGTAATTTTCTTTTAGATTTCAAGTTTCGACCGAGACAGGGTTGCAAAAATCCCAAGTAGAAATGCTCCTTGATGCAAAATTTGATACATTATTTGTCCCAAATAGATACTGAATACTCACGGTCGCCAACAACCATGCCATTTTCTCTCTTTTGTCGAGCCGCGAAGTCGGAAAAGTCTCGGGTTCTTACCCTTTGAGGGTGGTTGTTTGAATGACATTCAGATCAAACCCAAAAAGTGTCTCGTACAAGATGAACAAACGAGTGCCAAACAAATTGTTACCACATGTTAATCAAATCTGATGACCAAGCAAGAAATGCTGCCTCTGCTCATTCTATTCGAAGCTTCCTCCGCCAAATACTCGGAGGCCATTTGTGGATTTTCGATGCGTCGGATGAGATTCACAGCCTCTTGATTCTTCATTACCTGAAACACGTTATCGTTGACGGATTACTGTCTCTCTAAATATGTCGGTAAGAAGTTGCAGTAAATATGTGTGGGATGATAAAATGTCTTACCTCCCATATGCCATTGCTGGCTAAAATAACAAATTCGGTATCCGGATCGACCCTTTCAACCCCAACAACAAGGTCTGAGCTTTTACAAGTTTTGGTCTTTGCTGCATTGCCCGGAATCACACACTAAAATGTGAGCATTTCGCACGCGAATTTTAAACACGAGCGTGTCAAAAATGAGGTATGGATACGGCTACTGCTGGACATGATGATTCATTTCCGTTTAAGGTCATCAATTTTGTATCCCCAACATGGCGTCGTCGAATCCAAACCTCATTTTCTTAAACAAGTAAACATTGTCACATCATCTGACGCATCAGTTGGTGAACAAATTTGGCGGCTCTAGGGTTATCAGTCCACGTTACCTCTAAACAACCTGTGTGACCAAATCTTTTTTGGTTTGATCTTGTTCTTGCGCCTATTGAGAGCGGAAACCATTTTACCACACAACTGCTCTATAGTCTCCCATGTTAGCCAATACAAGCTTTTCCCCCTCGATCACCATCGCGGAAACTGAACCGACTCCGTTCGTCTCCTCCGAGGCCTCTCTAACCTTGATTCTAGCACAAGAAGGCTTTCTCATCGTCTCCTTGCTCTTTCCCCTTATATGAGACTGCACAAAGTTGGACATAAAAAATGAACCATCACAAATATTTTTCTGTGTTATATGAGTATAAATTCTCCTATCCTATTGCGCACTCTCGAGCAACTCTGTAGTTGGTGTACACCAGAGAGAAAATAACGCAAAACCCCGTTCGCATGAGCCGGAACTAATTAACAATCATCTTAATGAAAATTGGATTGAGATTACTTTAACTAGTGCTTAAACTAAAGGAAGGTGTTTCCTATACCTCTTTAGGCTTCTTGTCAAACAAATGTGACTGCATGTACTTGGTAACCCGGTCGCCAACCCGGGCATCGAAAACTCCGAAAAACCAGAGCTCAAGCTCTTCGATTTGCTCTCTCTGAGCCACAACAAAGTCGGAGTCGGAATCGCCACAGGTAGCCGGTGATGTGTAGCTCTCACAGGTTGATATCCATGGAGGACTGCAGGCATCATCCACGACGTTTCTTGCCATGGTGACCTCTTTCTTCTTCCTCCCCACACCACTTCCCATGAGGAAGCGTTTCAGCTGCAAAGCCCGAAACCACATTTTTTGGTAAAATTAAGAAAGGAATGCTACTAGTTAAGGATACATATATACATACATATAATATATAAATATTACTACATAAATATTATATCCTATATATATTATTATATATATAGATGTGTGTGTGTGTGTATGTGTGTGTATTCACACAAATACACACTAACTTTTGGGTAAAAAATTAGTGATAATGACATACATTATACAAGGGAACATTGGAAACTCAAAAGTCTTAAAACTGACAACAAGCAAAAAGACAAAAAAAAAACCAACAAAATGCTATTTAACATCTTTATGTACCATCATGTCTCTTTATGTACTCAAAATTCAAACATTTTCCTTTTCTTTCGAGAAATATTATAATTTAACTAAATTTTAAGGAGAGACACAAACTTTGGGTATAAGTAGCGTTTAAACAACATGGCTACGTCCAAGTTCGAAAATCGAACTTTGGGTATGGTAATTCCATAACAATAATAATAATAATAATAATAATAACAAAAAAATGATGGGCAACTGTCTTCTATCATACAAAAAAATGATGGGCAATAATGTAATTTCATAAGTCCAAATTTTATTGTTTTGTTATTAAAACCTCACCTACCGGTGATATTAAAATATCTATAATATTTAAAATAAAAAAAAAAAAAAAACCTCCACTCTCTCGACGTCTCTCTCTCCCCCCCCCCTCCTTCTCATTTTCTAAAAAAATGTGTTCATACACATAAAGTGTATAGGCAAATGCTAGTAATAATAATAAAGGTAAATTACAAAAAACTACCTCAACTATTAGGTCATTAACAATTTCATACCTCATCTTTAAAAAGTTTCAATGTCATATCTTATCTTTGAATTTGTTGCAATGTCATACCTTCAGTCAGTTGACTATTAGTTCATCAGTTAAATGCTGACGTGGTATGAGGCGGGGTCCACTTTTTATTAAAAAATTAATAAAATATTATAAAAAACTTTAAAAAAAATCATTTAATATTTTTTAAATATTAAAATAATAATTAATTAAAAAAAATAACCATCAGTTTTGTCCACCCCACCCCCGCTTCTCTCTTTCTCCCCCATCTATCATCTTCTTCGCCCCCCCCCAACCTGCAAACCAGAAAAGGAAAAAAAAAAAAAAAAAAAAAACCTTCAATTTGTCTTCCCTCCTCTTCTTCCTCCTCCTCCTCTCATAAAAAAAACCCAGATCCCATCTACGCTGCCATCGCCGGTTCGTGTGTGGAGGAAACCCCCTGCCAAGCCGATTCACGGGTGGAGAACCTGGGCGCAGAGAAAATGGAAGGAATGGTGTGGATTAAGGAGTGGGTTGTGTAGAGGAGGGAAGAAGGTGGGTGCGGGGGAAGAACGAACGGGTTTTTTGGGTTGCAAGAAGGGGTGGTTCGGGGAAAGAAGATGAGGGAGGAGGGGGGGTGTTTGGGGTGGGGGGACGAAACGTAATGGTGTTTTTTTTTAATTTTAAATTAATTATTATTTAATATTTAAAATATTAAATAATTTTGTTTAATTTTTTAATAAATATTTTATTAATTTTTTTAATAAAAACGTGGATTCCCGCCGTCATGCCACGTCAGCATTTACCTGAGAACTAAAGTTACTGACAGTATGACGTGCAACAAATTCGAAGATAAGGGTATGCAGGGCCAGCGCGAGGAGTTCAAGTTGGTTCTACCGCACAAGGCCCCCAATCGAAAGGGCCCGAACTTTTTCAATTTTGCGTGCATTATACGTATATATAGTTAAAAGTTAAGTGTAGAATATTACCAACTTGAGTCTTAGCGCAGTGGATTATTGCTTTTTACATTTTGGCCTTAGGAGATGGGTTCAAAGCTAATCTCATCATTTTTCAGTTTATATTTTTATTTAAATGCAAAGCTTTCAACACAATCCACACAATAACATTGAAAATATCTTGACCCTCTAAATAGTTAAGGAAAAACAAAACGCATCTTTTCACTTGTTTGATTGTTAAATTTGTTTGTGTTATTAAATTTATAAGAAGCTAATGAAAACTAAAATTATTATTTTTGAACAAAAAAAATAAAAAAAAATTAATCTTAAGTATTTTTAGGGCCTCCATTCACTTTTCGCACACGGCCCCGAAATCTCAGGGCCGGCCTGAAAGGTATGACTTGAACTTTTAAAGACGAGGTATGAAACTATTAATGACCCAATAGTTGAGGTAGTTTTTTGTAATTTACCCTAATAATAATAACAATAATCTCTTTTCTTCTTTTTTTTGTCATTTCCAATTTTTCAAACACCATTAATTAGCATCTTACATAATCTAGCACCACCATAAAAGTTATCAACCAAAACTAAGAAACCCGGAAATAAGATTATCCAGATAGTCGAAGAACACAATTAAAAAGACTAAATAAATGCAGTTTTTCAAGAAAATGGAACATGTATAAAGGAGCGTTCAAGCGCTAACCGTGAAAACATATGCAGACTTACATTTGGCTTGATCTGAATATCTTTAACGCCCATGAGCACCCCTGAAATATGATAGGGGCCATTTTATCTTTAGCACTCATGAACACCCTTGAAATATGATTAGGGGCCATTTTATCTTTAACGCCCATGAGCACCCCTGAAATACGATCAGAGGTCATTCGGTGATTATCTAGTAAACGGAGAAGATAATCACCTTCAAGCCAACAAAAAAAGAAACAAGATAAATCACTTGAAGGGGAAGAATATTTTAAAAATTGGAAATAATGGATAAATAGAGAAGAAATTAAGAGCTAAACTTGGCTGGTTTGCCAGTTTTGTTGGTAATGTAATTATAATTTGGAGCTATTTAAAGTCAATGAGGGGTCTTAAGCTAGTTTTACATTCATCTAGAGACATCCTAATTTTAGGGTTAATGCATGTATTAAAATAGAAAATTTATTATTTTTAATCATCTCTCAATCTTTTTTTTTTGGTCAAAATCATCTCTGAATATGTTAGCAAGGAATTATAAAATTGTAACTGCCCATTTGTGGATATCATGGTAATGGAATTATGTAGTTCCTGCGAGCATATTCATTGACCACGTTATTGATCACCTTTACAATACATGTCTCACACATATACTTCAATACAATCGATATTTTCATAAAAATATTCAAAAAATCAGAGAAAGATATGGAAATTGGGGGCGAAGTCTAAACTTCGCCTCATCTCGAAGAACTCTTATTAAGGCTAAAATCGACAGATATTGTATATATTTCAGACACATATGTTAAAGATTAGAGAAACTCTTATATTTCATCCAAACTAATATTTGACAATCCCTAATGTTTCATTTTGTAATTTTCATTAAAAGCAACCAATATTGTTCTTCGATATATTCGTCGATATTTCCATAAACTTGCATAAATGTGAGTCGAACCAATAACTTTATTTCACGTCTAAAGCCAAAACAAATGGTTTTGAAAAAAATATAGTAGGTTAACAACAAAACCTCAGAATGATCTATGAAGATTTTCATTCAGATTAATTTATTGATAAATTAGGCCAACTAACTATTATAATTTCAATTTGGTGACCCACTTTAATAAAAGTCTTTGAAGTTTCTCCTCTCCTTTTTTTAATAACTGAATTATATAGTAATTTTAAGCTTTAACGGTTCACATACCTTTTTAACTCCGTAAGCATCTCCAATAGGAGTACTTATTTAAGGACCCACCGCCATATTTGAGTACTCATTTCAAGACTTAAACCAAATATTTGTGTTTCTAAAGGAATATTACCTCCAATGGGAGTCCTTATAATATAATCCATAAATTTAAAGTTTTTATGATTTTATGTGATAATTTGATTGGGTGTACATTTTTTGTTTAGAGGTATTCATCAATCTTTTTGGTTGTGACCATTTCCAATTTCCCCCCCTCAACTTTAATTTTTGGCCAAAGTTCCCCCCTCAACTCTCATAATTAGTCAATTTCCCCCCTCAACTCTCATAATTAGTCAATATGCACTCTACTGTTAATTTTTTTTTAATTTCCTCTATTCTTTTTTTTTTTCTTTCAATCTTTCTAATAACTTCCAACAAAGTAACTAAAAATTAACATTAAACTCACTGCTGAAATAGGTGGTAAAATGTACAAAAACATAATACAATAGTATGTGATATGGTTGATTTTTAAGAAAAAGTTTATGAATTTTAAAGCATGTAGAAGAAGAAATAATTAATCATAAACTCATGGATCATACCTATCAATAAAATGGTATGTCTTAATAAGGATCGAAAATTATGAATTGACTAGCCATTTTTGCACTAAAGCTCGATTCTCCGCAATTGACATGACTTAGCTTTCACTTTTATAAAGAAAAATTTATCCATACAAAAATGTTACACATCAATCCTTTCGTATCAATTTGTATAGTAAAAAAATCAAATAAAATTACTCCATACTGATTTATTATGACTCAATAATACATCTATGATTTAATTGTAAATTCTAATTTTAATCTATTTGTAATTAGGGATAAGACATAGGAAAATGATTACATAACATCTTATTTAGTTTCTTACACACACTTGTTTTTAATTTATATCAAATTAAAAAATTAACAGTAGGTGCAAATTGACTATTATGAGAGTTGAGGGGGAAATTGACTAATTATTGAGAGTTGAGGGGCGAAATAGCCAAAATGAAGTGATGAGTGAAATTGGCCAATAGTCACAAAGTTCATTGAGGGAAATTGATGAATACCTCTTTTGTTTATGTTAACCTTTTTTTTAATTAACTAAAAGCATTTAAAGCATTAGAAGCTTCAATCAAGATTGTGGGTTCCATTCTCCATTCAAGATTATGTCCCTATGCATCTCCTATATGTTGGTACGTACAGTATGTATCTGGTAAGTGCCTATAATTTAGGGACTAACTTTCGATCATCCGGAATTCAATTGTCTAACTTATTTTGTGCGCCATTATACCGAATTGTTTCCCCTATTAATTCTTCTCACTTGTGCTCTTTTAATCTTTCTATTTCTGGAAGCGAACAATTAGAAATGTTGAAATCCTCAATAAAGATAAACACATATTCAGTCAACACACAAAATTGTAAAACGTGAAATTATGTTAATATATGACACGTGTTGTTTGCTAAATAATTCCGTATATTTCAGTCTTGACACTAAGATCATTTTTCCTTCTTGTTCTTTTGGGTTTTGTAGAATTTGGTGTCAGCATCTAGAAGTTGGTTTTTCATTTGTAGCACCTTACCATCAACGGCATTTCAACGATATTTTAGTGAAGTTAAATCTAACTTTGGAATCAAAATTCAAGATAGAGATTTGAATTTTATAATTTTCTAATCAAACAAATGGTTGAATTGGGAAGGACGGCAAGAAGAAGGCCCCTTTGGCTTCATATTATATATGATGATTCTTCTTCTCAAGTTGATGGAGCTGTCAGCCTGTCATTCTCTAATTAAGTCTTTGACTACCTTCTCTCACGTTGCAAAGTTTCTACGAGCAATTAGGAATGATGTAATACGCTTGAGGTTTCAACGTAAAATTAATTGATAATTTGAGGAATTGGCCGAAGTCTTGGGACTTTATTCTCACAATCTTACATGCAATAGGTCCCGACAATATAGCGATCGAAGTGTGAAAGGTTATGGGAGAGACGGGCATAGCATGGCTCACAAACTTTTTCAACAAGATTTTAAAAACGAAGAAGATGCCAAATGAGTGGGAAAGAGCACTTTGGCGCCTAGAATACCGGTGACATACAAAATTATATGAACTATAAGGGTATTAAGTTAATGAGTTGTACAATGACGTTTTGGGATGGAGTAATTGAGCATAGACTAAAGGTAAGAGATAGGGGTCTCAAACAATCAATTCAGGTTCATGTCAGCGCACTCGACCATGGAGACAATCTTTCTCTTATGAAGATTGATGGAACAATATAGAGATATGCAAAAGAATTTGCACATGGTCTTTATAGATTTGGAAAAAGCGTATGATAGCGTCCCCAGTAAATTTTTTTGGAGGATTCTAGAGAAGAAATGAGTATGAGTAGCGTATATCCAATAAAAAAAAGGATATGTTTGACGGAGTAAGGACAACAATAAGAAATCATGAAAGATAAACTGAAAGCTTTCCATAGCCATAGGGTTAGGCTCAGCTTTAAGTGCTTACCTTTTAGCATTGGTTATGCATTTTTAACATATATTAACAAATATTATCCAATTTTTTGTAGCTTTTTGCAGTTATATGTGGAGATGAACTCAGGAGGACGTAACGAAGCTTAACCTTTGGTGGGAAGTGTTGGAATCTAAAGGTCTTGGCATAAGTTGGTCAACATAGAGTATATGGAGTGCAAGTTTAGTGGGAATGAGCGTCCAAATGAGATAAAGGTGAGGATTGGAGATCAAGAAGTACCAAAAATCGAACGCTTTTGCTATCTTGCAAGAGAACAGAGAATTAGATGGAGATCTCAACCATAAAATACAAGTTGGATGGATGAAGTGGAAAAATGCATCGAGTGTGTTGTGCAATCGTTGTATGCCACTAAAGCTTAAGGAAATTTTTTATAGAACGATAATAAGGCCAACAATGCTTTATGACACTGAATGTTGGGTTGTCAAGTATCAACAAGTGAAAAAAATATTAGCTTAGCATATATGAGAATGGTTCGTCGATGTGTGGGCACATGATAAGGGACAAAATTAAGAACGGAGATATCTGAAGTGAAGTACAAGTGACTGCAATTGAAGATAAGATGAGATAAAATTGGTTAAGGTGGTTTGAACATGTGAACCGAAAAGATAATATAAAGATTAGGAGGAGAAAATTTGAGTGTTCATTTCTTCTTATTAGAGTGTGTATTTATAGGCTTACGATTTACATAGAAAATGTCTTAAATAATTATATATTACATATTGACTCATAATTTAATAGCCATTTAATAATAATAGGTTAAAATGTTGTTTGACCACTTGAACTATTTTTTTTCGTAAATTAACCCCCTGAACTATTTGAAATAAGTCAATTAACCTCTCATCGTCAGATTCGATAAAATTTCATCCACTTTGCCGTCAAATATTAGCATGGCTTTACCTTCAAGAGTGAATCACGTGCTAGTCATGTGCCAATATTTGACGGCAAAGTAAATGAAATTTTATCGAAGCTAATGATGAGGGGTTAATTGGCTAATATCACATAATTTAGGGGGATAACTTAACAAAAACAAAAAAACAAAAGTTCAGAAGTCAATTTAAACTAAGATAATAATTTCAGAAAGTCAAATCGCAGTTTATTCTAAAAACAATATTTTCAACATCAACCTTATTTTAAATTTGGACTAATGGAAAAGGATAGAAAGTTGGTGACTTCTTTGGTGAACAATGCATTAGAGGCTCTTGGGTCAGTTCAGGTCCAATGTAAAATGAGGCCCAAGAATATTCAAACGAGGCCTTACCGTATAGATCTTAAAATAAGAACAAGTGAACAACCAATCCATATGCTCTAGCAGACAGATTACATTGTTATGCTTACATTTTGCTTGAGTATTGAAAATTTGAAACTCTACTTTTTCTGTAAGTTAAACTCAAAATCATACTTTAAAAGACTAAAAACATGTTTGAAGTTTTTTTAAAATAACTCCGCTTTTTGGTTAAAGTGTTTTTGGGTGTCAAGGCATTTGAAGTGCATTTTGGAAGAAACACTAGTTAGTTCTTACAAGAAGCACTTCAAGTGTTTTTTCAAGATTCACTTGCAGTTTTACTAAAGATTAGGTCAAAAAACACTCTCGT